ACAACGTAGATGCCACACAGAGAGTGCTGGAACTTGGTATCTTTACCAGTTTCTCCTTTACAAAAGACAAGACACAGAGCAGAAAAATGGAAGAAGGAAGAATAGGAGGAGTTTAGGGTAATAGGGATGCTTCCAATATTCTCCTCATATACACTTCCTCACTTTTGGAATTCCTAATTATCTGGCTTGTTTATAAAGCAGAACTGAGGCTCTGGGAATCCTCCAATTTTTATTTCCTTCCAAATACTGACCAGGCCCAAGCTCGTTTTGCCACAGTTTTCAGGTCCTCCAGTTGATTCTCCAGTACAATAATGCACTCATGCCTTTGAGAAAACTCCACAAAACCAAGCAACTTTGATGTGATCTTAAACACTTTTCCCTCAAGGTTCTTTTCATGTGGCATTTTACTGATAGACAGAACTTTGGAAGGATAAATAATTTGAGTAAAATTTCCACAGACTCATGGATCTGGAATGACAAGGTCAAAACAGCTCTATTTTCAATTTCCATTTCCCCCTGTGGTCTATAAGCTTCCATTTGGGGATGGATTGGGTTGATGAATAGGGTTGCCATTCCCCCGACGGGGACAGGGGTTTACTCACTTTTGGAACCCCCAATCTGCCGCTTCCAAGCTGGCCGGCAGGGGAAGCCCTACCCCCAAAGAGCCCCATCCACACCAATGTGCCCAGCATGGTGATGTCACCCGGAGGTGATGTCATCATGCAGGGCACATTGCAGGGGGAGGCTGCTCTAGCATTTGAGAAAAACTCTATGGTTACTATAGAGTTTTCCCTCAAATGCTAGAGTGTCACCCCACAACATGCCCTGAGTGATGACGTCACTTCCGGGTGATGTCATTGTGGCTTACACGCTTCACGTGTACACTGAAAGCTCCAGGATGAGGAGAGGGACCCCACACACACACTGGTAGCCAGGTAAGACCTGGCAACTCTATTGGTGAAGGATAGGAAGGCACTGAGGAGAGTGACTAGCAGATACACCATCCAATCAGAAAATGTAGGCCTTGTTTGCATGATATAGCGTAATCTTTTATTGCCATTTCTGTGTTCAGCATTTCATCCAATCACATTGTTGGCTCACTGGCTTTGGGGCAGTTTTCATTCTGTATACATTG